GTGGTACAGACCGTTTTTTTATAAAAATTTGGCAATGACAATTGATTTAAATAAAAAACAAATTTTACTTAGTATTATTTATCTTGAAAACGAGTGAGTGGTCGTAGACCATTTTATAAGCAGAATATTTTTTATGTATTTTTTTCCGTAGATTCTAATTTTGAGGTTAAAATAGTGAAAAGATCAAAACAAAAAAAATATGGGAAATTGCGCCCCCTATCCCTTATTCCGCTATTTCCCTATTTCCGCAATTGCACATTCCTTCTAATTTTTCATTCGATTATCGTATTCGCCCCGTAAAAATAGCTAAATATGCCAAATTTCGTGTTTCTAACCCTAGTAGTTTTTGAAATAATGAGAAATAACCACATATTGAACGCCTTCTTCAAAGTGCTCTACCTCCCTTAGGTAGCATTTTAGGACACACCTTTATATGAACTTTTCTTCATGATTTTTTATGTAGAATTACCCCTTCAAATATATGAACGCAATTTCTGGACACGCTATATAAGATTGGTACAAGGGATAGCATATTGGACAAATTATACTGCAGGTGAATACTCATACATACAAGGCCAGCCATACACAGGTAACATTAAGTCTGCTATAAGCAATGACTGCATGGCGAACCTCGGATATACTACTCCAGTCGCCCGTGTATGATCGGCTTAAGTAGACGTAAATATGTATGGCCGTGAGTTGTGAAAAATGCGTTTATTTTTATGATTTTCTTCTTTTTCTTTAATAGGTCAGAATTTGATGGCTGTAGCGAAAAATTCATCCGTCGTGATGAAGTGCCAAACGTTACAATTACTTTAAGAACTGCTGCCAGGAAAGCTTCTATAGGAACAGGGCAAGGTTATGCAAGATGTGTTTGTTTTAAAGGTTGTACCAATAATAAATGTTTATGTAAGAAAAAAGGACTATTATATAATTCTAAGTGCCATAATAGTTTAAGTTGCGCAAATAAATAGTTTAGTTTAGATGCCTGCATACAAAAAAAACATTAAAAAAACAGATGGTTTTTCTTCCTTTCCTGTTGCTCACACCAGTCTATCTCTCACCTACTAATGCTTCTGCTCTCCCCCTCTCGTCTCCTCTAACCAAAAAAGAGTTTTGCCTAGCAATTACTGATGAATATACTTTTGACTAACGTTCTCAGTCAAAACCCTTTTTGACAGGTATTTTTCAGATAAAAATAGTATTGTCAGTCAAAACGTATTTTAATCGTAGACTGCTGTCAAAACTAGTTATAACTGAATTTTGTGGTCTAGTTTTGACCGAAAACGCGTTTTAACTGTAACATATACATATATTAAGTTTGATAATAAAGTTTATTGGAACTTAAAGCAAGATTTTGTTGTTAACCAGCGCCTACCAGTTAAAAATTAATAATCTGTATTCGTTAAAAACATTGTAACTCATAGCTATTTCCGATATTACCAATATAATAGATATATGAAATTACCCCTAGAAACTAGATCCTGTTTATCTACATCTGTATTCCAACTATATTTTTTATTACTTTACCAACTGCAACTTTATCGTAGTTTTAATAATTATGGGTATTTAGATTTTGGATTCGTCCCACTATGGGGCACCAATACAACGTCATGTCACTGGGCGCAGATGAAAATGAAACGTAGAGGGGAATGTGATACTGCTTTGGACTATAACATTTTCTCAGAAGAAGAAAAATACTCAAGCATGATATTCGTAACATTCAAAACATTGGGTTTAATAAGTTCAATTGAACATGATAATCTATACGCCACTGTAGAAAATGTAAATCTTGGATCTTGGTTTTAATAATTTTATAATTAAGGCTTATAGAAATGTTTGAATGACTTAGAATAAATAGTGACAAAGAGACCTGGACAAAATAATTGTGTACACAGGTAGATAATAGTCCAGTACAAACAAAAATAAGCAAACTTATAAGGAAGGTACACTTTGGGAATTTTAACAAAACAAACTGCCAAAAAAGCAGATCCCAAAACATATAGGTTGCACATACACATGCGTTTCACAAAGAATTATTCAAGTTCTCTCAAGCAATTATTCTTGGTAGAACGCTTGCGTACTAATCCATAGCACAGCCATAAAAGACTGATTCCTAACTACATATCACGAATATGAAATCTTTGAGATATCTCAGCAGCATATTGTAGAAATAATACACAAATTTATGTACATTGTTGGTCTGATAATATTATCAATATCATCAATTCAGCATTAACATCTCATCCGAATTTTTTTGAAATTAATTTGATAGATCTACTGAAGAAAGTTCCATTGTTACATAATGATTAACCATATTAAATCCGTGCAATTCGCACACAAGCTGCAACAAAAAGAAAAACATGTAATAAAGGGGTTACGAATTTCATCCCCTTACAGGGCGCTAGGGAAGCTTAAGGTATACTTGAAAATAAGGTCTTAACCAGACTAATTTTCAAATTCTACGGTTTACTAGAAAAAATAAAAAATAAAATGTAAATTTTATCTATATATATATCTCATACTATATCTATCTCAGAAAGTTAGACGATGAGCTATAACGTTGACAACATCAGTTAGTAGCTTGGATAATACCGCATTGCTTTTGTTTTGCGATATTTCTCATATCTGTCATAATAAGGGAGGGGGAGGCCAATGCATTTTCAAATGTTTACATGTTAATATCTCCTGGACCATTCAACCGATTTGAATATTTTTGGTCTTGTTTGAAAGAGCATTTCATAAAAGATTTTCATCATAAAAGATTTTCGGTAAGACCGCTTGGTTTAAAACAAATAAGCTAGAGGGCGTTATCTGCAGCGGTTACATATTTTTGTGATTTTTGAAAAAAAGTTAAACGGAACGGTACTATTTACTTCACAGACCGTTAATCACCATAAAATTTGCTAAATATTAGTGAAAACCGCATCTCGATATCTCCATCCATTCTCGAATTCGCGTGTTGAAAAGCCAACGGATCAATGAAACATCAACAATGATAATAAACAAAATAAACCAAAACACTTAGAATAACTTAAATTTTTGGCAAAAATAACTCACTAATGTGCGAAATGCCTTCCATAAACCTCGATGCATTTATTTAATCTAGTTTCGACGAAAAANCAATATAGTAGCAGAGTTAAGTCAGTTTGTTTTTCCCTTTCGATTGGTATTGTGGGCTTAAGTCTAACACCAACTGCTGCTACTATTTTAAACCGGTCTATAGGCTATAAGTCAGAACGCGTCTTATCTTGTTCGGTATTATAATCGTAAGTTGACATAAGCCCTTTTGAGCAACCAATTTAAAACTATGCAGACGTTCCTAAAGACTTAAATTGACTTAGGTCTTTCATATCAAACATGCTTTGGCAATTCAGTCTATTATTAATTTAGTGTTATTGTACAGAAATGAGTGAAAGAAGTAAATATATAGTGCAATTAGCTCTAGGACGTTCAGGTAATTATTACTCTTCTAAAGTACAACGTATTTTTCAGACGTTATAGTGGCAAGAAATGGCAAGAGGTTATCTGTATGCAAGGACTGTTTATGCAGGACTTTGGATGAAAAAGAGAAATTTATTAGAATGGCCATCAGAAATAAAACGAAGAATACTTCTGGTATTACTACAAATGATGGAAGAGGCAAAACATCTTCCGCAAACAAAAAAACGGAGGAAGAAATAAATGCAGTAGTAACACACATTACATCGTTTCCTTCATATGAAAGTCATTATACCAGACGCACGAATGACAAAAAGTACCTTCCATCTCATTTAAACTTGCGAATTATGTACGATTTATATAAGGAAGAAAGAAACAATCCTGTTGGTAGGACAATATATGAGAGAGAATTTCATAAGTTGAAACTCTCATTTAAAAAACCGCACGTGGATACTTGTTCTAAATGCGACACCTTTCATATGCAAGTACAGGTTGTTACTAACTCGAACAATGTGGAAGAGAAGCTCCGTGTACAACGAGATCTACAGTTACACCAAGAACAAGTGAATGCAGCATACGTGGCAAAAAAAGCAGACAAAGAAGAAGCTAAAGTCAATTCTGCAAAAAAATGCTATAGTTTTGATCTCCATCAATGTTTGCCAACACCGTTTATTGGTTTCTCGGTAGCATTTTACAAAAGGCAATTGTGGACATATAGTTTGACCGTTCATGACTGGTGAAGCAACGCATTACATGTGGCACGAGGCTTTAGCTTCCAGGGGAGGCAATCAAATTGCTTCCTGCTTATATAGCTATTTAAAAAAATTACCTGATTCCGTGACTGAAGTCACATTGTACTCAGACACATGTGGAGGGCAGAACAAAAATAGTCATGTTGCTGCCATGTTCTTAAAAGTGCAAAGTGAATTTCACTATCTTATAATCAATCAGAAGTTCCTAGTACCAGGCCATACTCACATGGAATGTGACATCGATCACTCCATGATAGAGAAACAGAAAAAAAAAATTGAAACACCTATTTTCCACCCACACGATTGGTTCCAGTTGTTCAGGGGAACAGGGAGAAAGAACCAGTTCAAGGTTCATGAGATGGAACAGAACGAATTTTTTGACTTTGCTCATTTACTAAAGACTGTATTGGTATGCTGAAAAAAAATGTATCTGGTGAACCATTGTTGTGGCCGCTTGTACAATGGCTTCAATATAAAGAAACAGGTGTCGTACACTACAAAAACTCTTTAAGCGACACTGAGGATTTTAAAGTGCTAAGTTTCCTAAGAAGGGGAAAACTCTACAACTTGGAGCTGTTGTTACTTCTATAAAAAAATAATGCGATTTACGAATAATTATAGAACTTTCAAACTCATTTTGTGGAAAACTACAATTTTTGACTTAAGCCCATAATACCTAACACCAAAGATTTAAAAGTTAATGGTAATAGTTCAGTCTGTTATCATAATCGGTATCTGTTAAGGCCTGATGTAAAACAACGTGGTGGAGATATTATTTTCTTGAGAACTCTTGTCGACAATTGTTTTCGGAGTTCCCAGATTATGTGGGATCACATTGCGCACCAATGTGATTTACGAATTCATAGAGATGTCAAAATGGGCAACACGTTGCCAGTTTTCCGTAATCACTAAGTCAATCTTAAACACACTTCTAGAGAAAAATGTCTTTCTTTGTCGTAATTGCATTGCACATTTTTGCCATACAGTTGCATCGTATTCGCAACATTGAAAATAAATCATCATACGCTCTATCATACGCTTCTGCTTTAGTAAATGACATGTTTACAGTTACCATGGTTATGTGATTTGTTTTTCTCAATGAGGTAACTGGATCCGATTGATGGCACTCGAGTTTTTAACATTTTCTTCTATAACTCGAGAACGGGTGGCGACATCGAGATGCGGTTTTCATTAAAATTTAGCAAATTTTAAGGTGACTAAGGGTCTGTGAAGTAAATAGTATCGTTCCATTTAACTTTTCTTCAAAAATCACAAAAATATGTAATCGCTGCAGATAACGTCCTCTAGCTGATTTGTTTTAAAGCAGACGGTCTTACTGAAAATATCTGTAAAAAGAGCATAAAATGCTCTTTCAAACAACACCGAAAATATTCAAATCGGTTGAATGGTCTAGGAGATATTAAAATGTAAACATATGAAAACGCATTGGCCTCCCCCTCCTTTATTATGACAGATATGAGAAATATCGCAAAACAAAAGCGATGCGGTATTATCCAAGCTATTAAATGATGTTGTCAAAGTTATAGCTCATCGTCTAAGTTTCTGAGATAGCGAGAACTTTATGTTTCTCAATGGCAGTTACGCCCCCTAGCGGTCGAATTACGAACTTCAAAATAATTTCCAGCTCTTTCTCTTGGTCACTTTGCTTATAAGGATTGTTTTCCCAAACCTCTAGGCCTTACCGTTCTAGAGATACAGTCGCTCCGTACGCTTAACAGGACACCCTGTATATTGTGATATATGCCTTGCAGTTAATGGGAAACATTATGATCACTTATTGTAATGAAATCCATTTTATTGCTAATTTCGTTTTGTCTTTAAAGTTTAATAAGAGACATACACTAATTTTTATATGACTTGCTTTATTTTCTATGTAGATTTAAGGTTCGGTAATAATTCGAGATACTTAACCATCTCGGATATCTTATTGGTGCAATTAACTTAATAAACGGTTACATTTTTATATTTTTTTGAACAAAAATTTTAATATAAGGGTATCAAGATTTTACGTCATCCAAACGAGAAAAAAAAATCTATCAAATGAGCTTAATGGAAGGGTACATTGCTAATTAAAGAAATTTAAGTGTTATTCGATACTCATTTGATTTCTGAAATAAAAACAAGTGAATGCTGTCTTATTATGGAAAATAAAATGTTAAGCAACTTTTTTTTATATGAAGTTTTTTTATAAACCCATACACAGAATGTCCCGAAACTCAACGTCAAGCGGGCACAGGGTGAGAGGCCAACCCATACCTGTTCTGGTAAAAATAAGAAAAAAATTCCATGTCTCTTAGCTAAGTGGTAATAGACATATTTTTGAAAATGTTAAAAATCGTTCCCGTACATCATATCTTTAGGTACTACATTCAGAAATGTACGCAATTTAATAGTGATTTTTTAATAATGTATTCCTTATGAACCATGCTACTATAAAAGTCACAAATCAAACAACAAAAGTCGTTAGTTTTGCAAACAAAATATTAGTTTGATTGAGTGAAGGTTGAAAGAATTTATTGCTTTGTTCGTTGGATCTTCCCTACTCTGCACAACATGGCACTAGTATGACGTCATAGTGCAATTAAGTGTAAGTGCAAGGTTATGTCAACTGAGTGCAGGTTAGAAAAGTGTAAAGCGTGGTCGCAACGAACAGGTTTTTATTATGAAAGTGTATAATATTTGAAATTGATAAACAGGAGATTGTCAGCGAAATAGTCGCGGAAAATGATGAAATCATCGCAGAATGTTTTTTTAGTAGAGATTCATCCGACAGTGATGTAGAATCAATTAATATACAGGGTGATTCTCAACTTATACGCATAAACTTGAGGATTTATTCCTGATGACAAATAATGACTAATAGATGAAAAAAATTGTAGTAAAAGTTTTTTAGTTTCCTAGATATCCGATATAATCGGCGACATCTAGGTCATGTGTTTCCTGGAGGATGGATAGATCGAGATGGTCCAATGGCCTGGCTAGTTAATATTGCGAGCAAATATTGCAAAATCAGGTACATGCTGCTACACAGACAATCCACCAACACCCTGGTTTAGGCTGCCCTAGTTGGAGATCGTGGGTTCGGGGAACCCAATTGATAGAAAATATGGGAAATAACTTCGAACACTTGCTGTGATGTTATTTTAAAATGTTCTATGTATTTTTGATTTGTAAGTAAATATCACGGATATCTATGAAACAGAAAATCTTTTACTACAAATTTTTTCGAACATTAGTCATTATTCGTCATGAGGAGTAAATCTCCAAGTTTATGCGTATAGGTTGAGATCACCCTGTATGTTCTTATAGCGTTGTCAAGCACGCAAGGACAACCATAAGAAATTATTGCACTGAGGTAAAAATAAAATAATTTGGACATGTTGATATTCATAAATAATTGCTTTTAGGTAGTTCCTTGCTACACAGAAGTGGAATTTTTTTCACATTTTAGAATAAGCAAAGCTTTATGCTATACTTTGATTGATACATTTACAGTTGATTCATTTTAGTATTGAAATAATGTATAAAACATGCGATAGGTAACAGAAATAATCAAATAACAATTCTTTTCGATGATTTTATCTCCATCTTCATTTTTTACAAAACACGCTTCCAAACATTCCGCCATTTTAGTTACACTGAATTACACTGCACCTATTGAACTTAATCGAAAGCAGGTGCAACAACATCTGCACAAACTTGCACCGGCTACACGAAATTACACTGCGCATGGCCCAACGAACAGTATGAGTGCAACTGCACTAAGCTACACTATTCCCAACGAACACACAACATCTGCACTAAACTGCTTAGTGCAAGTAGTGCAGTCCCAACGAATAAAGCATATATCTATTAAGTTTGACACACGATTTCAAAAAAATGAGTAGTACCCTTGGCAAGTTATTTTAAAAGATGGCCTGTTTAGTCGAGATTGAAAAATGGTATAACACTTGCCATTTTTCTTTTCCCAAAAAATATTATTACCTGTTTTTCTGCAAAAAGCGCGTTATTTAAAAAATATATGCTTCCGTATGTTATTTGTATTTCCTCCAAAATAATTTAACAAATTTGTTAGAAGATGTGCCACTCAATATCTACAGAGAAATGTGGTTTCAATGAGATGGTTGCCCAACTCATTATGCTTGTTATGTACGGGACTGAATACAGAATATCTCTAAAGATGGATTTGGCGTCTTGGTTCGATTAAGTGGCCTCCTCATTCTCTGTCCTTAAATCCCCTACATTTTTTTATTAGGATTTTATAAAAGAAATAGTGTATTAAAAACCGATTGAAAATCTTGCCGAACTGCGCCACAATATTTATACAGCAGCAGAAGAAATAAATGCAAAGAAATTTGCACAACTAGTAAAAAGATCTTTTCTGCGACGATGCAGAAATGCTTGTCATGGCTTGTATTAGTGCCGACAATTTGAGCATTTGCTTTAGTTTTAAGAAAATAATGCAATAAAATCAATAATTAATTAATAATTCCTTTTGTGTAATTTTGTCTTTAGGTTAATCTTATTCGAACAGTCCTTTTGCAAAACATAAGGGCAACCATCTTGTTGAAATCACATTTTGTAGTTCGTAGATATTGAGTGGTACATCTTCTAACAAAGTTAAGAGGAAATAAAGAGTAAATACTAATAGTATCTGAAAGTATGATTTTTTTAAATAACGCGTTTTTTTTGCAGCAAAGCAGGCAATATTATTTATGAAACGAAAAATGGCAAGTGTTGTACCATTTTGGAAACTTGACTTATCAGGCCAACTTTTAAAATTACTTGCCAAGGGTGCTGTACTACTATTTCTTTTAGAAATCGTGTGTCAGTCAAACCGAATATGTAGACAAAAACTCTTTTAACTTTAACTGGATCAAGCAAATTTTTTTTTTTTTGAAAACTAACGACTTTTGTTGCTTGATTTGTTACATCTATTGTAGCATGGTTCATAAGGAATACATTATTAAAAAATCACTATTAAATTGCAAACATTTCTGACTGTATCACCTAAAGATATGATGTACGGGAACGATTTTTAACATTTTCAAAAATATGTCTATTACCACTTAACTAAGAGACATGGAATTTTTTTCTTATTTTTACCAGAACAGGTATTGGTTGGCATACAAAAAAGCTTTATTTCTGTATGACTTTTTGACTAACCTGTATACCACACTTATTTATTGCAACTTGTAATTTAAACTTATTGGTGTTCCATTCAATTCTACAACGTTATTCATAATTGTTATAGATTATTTTATTCAAAAACAAGACTGGTCGCTGCAAAAACTTTTAAATAAAAAAAAAATGGTATAATTGTGTCAAAAACCCGAATAATAGTAAACATCGTCGGACTTTGGTCAGCCTAATTAAAAAAGGAGGTTCATTAATTTATTAAGAAAAGTAGGTATTCACCTTTTTTATGAAATTCCTGGAGGAATTGCAGATTGTATTTTATTCTTTGTTTCTAGATTTGAATCTATTAATGTTTCGCCAAACTCCAATCTTCCTCCCATAATATAACAATTAACATAGTATCCAACAAAAGATAGCTCAAAAATAAAGACCAACAAAAGGTATCCAGAACTAAGGATGCCCCAAATGGAAGATACACGAAACGGAAGGTACCTCAAACCAAAGACCTAAAAATAATAGAAAAAGACATAAAAATTAGGAAATTATACAAGAGGGGAAAAATGTTAATTATTATTATGTTGAATTAATTGTAGTAATTTGAATTTTCTTATAGTCGACATTTTTCTATATCTACTTTTGGGATAAATGACGCTTTTGCTTGAGGAGAAGTGAATCATTAGGATTTATTTTTATTTAAAATACAATAAAAAACCTACCTCAGTTGTTTGAGGCCTACCACGTGTGTAACGTAAAATGACTCACAGATATGATATATATCCGTATCAAGCACATGCACTATTTCTTAAATAATTAGTCGCAATGATTATCCCGATAAATTCGGATAAGTTAAATGGAACACCAAAATTTCCAAAATGTCGGTCTAAATTCGCTTAACAAAACGACTTCACGCGTACGTCAACGTCGTCGTGTCTCACCAACATAAACTTTATATTTTTCATAAGCGCAGGTCAGTTTTTACTACCTGCGCTTCTCAATTTTAAAGTTGAAAAAAACTTAAATGATAATTAAATCAAAAGTTAAAAAAAAAGAAGTCTCTTACGTTTTGGTTAAAAAAATTAACTTTGTTAAATTGAACTAATAATAATAATCATCAATAAAGAAAGAAATTAACAAAATAAAGAATAAAAAAGGTGACATCTACAGATTAGAGGGTAAAGTAAAAGCAAAGAGAGGACCCTATAACGAAATATACAGTGTGTCCGTAAAGTAACGGGTATAGGCGATAAAATCATAATAAACGGTTTATGGAAAATCCCTGAAACGGGTATAAAGATTTAAATTTTTTGCAATTTTGTGGTGTAGATTTCAAAATTTTTTTTAAATGGCAATCCCCAATTTTTATTGCGGAATATGAAAGAGGATTTTTTTCTGAATCTAGTACAGTCAATATTAATATTGGTTACATAAGAAAATTTTCAAGAAAAATTACTTTAAAGTTTAATTACTTCAAATTTGTATAATGATAAAAATAGCAGTAGCCATGAATAACTGTGGTAACCAATTATTCTAAACAATTCCCTGAGTGTCCAAAACTGATTTAGTAAGTAGTTGATAAAATAAAAACCCAATACATTCGCACAATTCTGAACAACCATTACAAAAAACTTAATTTACTTAACCTTAAGCTTTATAATTGTTACCAATTACTTAATCTTCACCTCCATTACATTGAAGTCGAAGAAATAATTAGAGAAGCTAAATTGCATGATAGGATAATTTTAAATGAAATACGAAAGAAAAAACTACAAAAGTTGAGAAACGAGAAGGAGATCAAAGGGAACCAAATGCAGAAGCAGGAAACAGTTCATAAATTTTACCCAAAACTAACGAACACCACTTCCATAATCTTTACCGAGAAAGAAGCAGACATACTGAAGAAAGGACTGAAATATGCCCCTAAGACTGAGACTGATCTCCCTCTGTTGGCGATGGAGGTTCAAGCAGCTATTAGAGGACATGAGAGGGAGAACTTAATCACGAAGGAGATCCAGCAAATTCTCATTAAAGAAGAAAGAAACCGGGAACAAATAAAGGAAACAGAGAAGAACTTAGGGTGATAAAGAGTATTAAGCGAAAGATCAAAGAAAATAACCTAATTATGACCCCAGCAGATAAGAATGCAGGAACAATTATCTTGAGTAAGGAACATTATATTAAAAAAACCGAAGATTTCCTGAATGACAACGACTTCAAAACCATAAATAAAAACCCAACAAATAATTTCCACAAAAAGACCAAACAGATTATCAAGGAAAATAACATGATTTTAGAAGAGATCCTGGGCAATGTTAGAAATTTATTACCCATGAATCCACAAATTCCTAAACTCTATGCCCTCCCAAAGATTCATAAAACTAACATGTCTGTTCGACCCATTATAAGTTCCATTCAATCCAGCACATACAGACTTTCCGAATTACTACAAGGATTTGTTAGAAATACTATCAATTTTAAACCAAAACATATAATCACAAACCGTAATCAAATACCAACTTTGATTAACAAAATAAAACTACTTGATAAGTTCAAAATGATTTCATTTGATGTCAGTAATTTGTACACCAATATACCCATAGCCGAAACTTTGAATATATTGAAAGAGAATATTAAGACCGAACTTAGAGACGAAAACAAGACTAATTCCATTTGTAACATCTTTAAGCATTGCTTAGAACAGAACTTTTGTACATTCAACAATAAATTCTACCAATATGCTGATGGTTTGCCAATGGGTTCCCCACTCAGTGGAATAATGGCCGACTTATTTATGGACAACCTAGAAAATAAACTTATTATGAATGACATTAACCCATACAAGAATGAAATTATTACCTAGATTAGATATGTGGATGACATATTGGTTTTCGTCAAGGATGAACAAATAATTGATAATCTCCATGAATACATAAACGAATTACATCCAAAAATACATTTCACTTTAGAAACAGAAATAGAAAATAGAATAAACTTTCTTGATTTCACAATTCAACGTTTGGGCAACGAAATAAAGTACACAATATTTAGAAAACCTACACAGACCAATGCTATTATCCCTGTCGACTCCTACCATGACAGCACCCATAAGATGGCAGCCCTCAGAGCTTACCTACACAGAGCATTTAAATCAAATTTGGAACAACAGGACTTAGAAAGAGAAATCCTAATTATCCAACAAATTGCCAATGAAAACTCATTTCCACAACGCCTCATACAGAGATTAGTCTCAAGAATCCGAAACAAGGTAGAGATGGAACGCATAACTATATTGCATGATAAAGCGGAAAATAAAGAAGTTACCTATAGATCAATTACATATCCAGGAGCAATCTCACACAGAAGTAACATTTTAATTCCTTTCAGATCGCTCTTGTTTTGTGAAGCTGAAAAACCATCACTCCCGCAGTTTCACCATCCAACAAGGCCTCCCACAGGGATCTCCCATCTCTCCTTCTCTATACAACATCTTCTGCCACGATATTTACGACAACAATCCAGACGCCTTTGATGTGAATAAATATACTCTACTCTACGCCGATGACACAACACTGGTTTCGAACGACAAGGACGTTGAATCTTCGGTCCGAAAGCTACAGGTGCTTATCGATGAAACAGAGAGCTGGTACCGAAAATTGCGCATTCAAATCAACTCCCCAAAATCGCAATTCTTCATCCCTTTCCTCTCAGTCCACTCCCCTTCTCCTATAATCACAGTCCAATCAACCTGTAAATACTCTTTTCAACCCTAGCAATGATCTCCTTTATAACCTCACTAATATCCCCCCATTAACTTCCCTATCAAATTTCCCTAAAACTACCCTCAATTTCCCTACCAATCTTCTAAACCATTATCCTCATTATCCCTAGAGTAAACCACCCATCTGACCGCCGCAGAGAAGACTGAAGCTGCCGCTAACTAGAACTTGCATGGGTAGAAAGACTCTGATCTATAGCCCTATTTTTGGCTAAGTTTTAATTTATAACTTTTTTTTTGTATTTATATACTCCTTTTTTTTAAATTTATTTGTATTTTTTGCATCCAAAACTAAAATTTGTTTTCTCTGCCTCCATTTTTAATATGTATTAGTTGATAATAAACGAATCCAAAAACAATAAATTAAAAATCAACAAAAAATAAACAAAAAACGACAACACTAACAGGAATAATAATAAAAAGTACATAAAATAACAAGACAAGTAATAAAAAATACTAAAGGAAATGTTCAAAAACTTAAATTTCTTTTTTTTTGTTATTATTGAAATGGGAACCCAACATTTTTGCATTTAACACGAAAACGGTGATTTTTATCAATATTATCTGAGAGTGATAAAAGTTTCTAAATTAAATTTACTATTAGAAACTGCAAAAATAAATGTAGGGTTATGATCAAATAAAAAGTTCTGAGCAAACAAATTTTAGAAACAGCATGTATAACATTGTTTCCGAGGACCGATCCAACTCATAAATTGCCTAACGATTTTACGTGACATTATTATACTGTACCAAAGTTCAGCGCTTTACTATAAATAATGTTGAAGATATTTAGAAAAATGTGTTATAATTTCTTAACTTTGGTTGTATCTTTGAAATTTGAGGACTTTACTAATTTCTTTTTACATGAATCGTTATCATTTTCATTCTAGTATATGTGGTTAAATTTGTTCCCCGAGTCACTGAAACACCTGTATAAACCGTAATTTAATTTTCAAAACTACGGTCATAGCGATTTTACAAACTTTCTACTTTTTTGACAATTTCAAATTTAACCTAACTTTAACAGCCTTTCTCCAAACAATTTTTTCTTGAAAATTTTATAAACAGGCGTCCTATATATCAGTGGTGTCCATAACGTCGATCGCCAAGAAAATCAGGAATCTGAAATGTCTAATATCTGGGCCAAAGAACAAAAAAAAAGGAAGGTTACTTTAAACCCTTCGGTCGATCTTGGCAAGACATTTATATAAAAAGTCGATTTTGATCAAAAATTAGTGGACCCTACTGCTCTAAATCGATTAAACGTCAAAATTGTTGATTTTCGAAAATTAACTCAATCATAACTCAAAAACTAAAAGCGATGGAGAAAAACTTTTTATACATAAAACCTTAGTAATAGACCATAAAGACTAGATCCATAAAAAGATTGAACCCAATTATTACCATTTTTTATTTATAAGCTCTAAACCGATTAAACATCAAAATTGTTGATTTTCGAAAATTAACTCAATTATAACTCAAAAACTAAAAGCGATGGGGAAATATTTTTTGTACATAAAACCTTAGTAATGGGCGATAAAGACTAGATCCATAACAAGATTGAACCCAATTATTACTATTTTTTATTTATAACCTCTAAATCGATTAAACATCAAAATTGTTGATTTTCGAAAATTAACTCAATCATAACTCAAAAACTAAAAGCGATGGAGAAAAACTTTTTATGCATAAAACCTTGGTAATGGGCGGTAAAGACTAGATCCATAACAAAATTAAACCCAATTATTACCATTTTTTATTTATAAGCTATAAATCGATTAAACATTAAAATTGTTGATTTTCGAAAATTAACTCAATCATAACTCATAAACTAAAAGCGATGGGGAAATATTTTTTATACATAAAACCTTAGTAATGGACCATAAAGACTAGATCCATAAAAAGATTGAACCCAATTATTACCATTTTTTATTTATAAGCTCTCAACCGATTAAACATCAAAATTGTTGATTTTCGACAATTAACTCAATTATAACTCAAAAACTAAAAGCGATGGGGAAATCTTTTTTATACATAAAACCTTAGTAATGGACCATGAAGACTAGATCCATAAAAAGATTGAACTCAATTATTACTATTTTTTATTTATAAGCTCTAAATCAGTGGTGACCATAACGTCGATTGCCAAAAAAATCATGAATCTGAAATATCTATATCTGGGCCTCAGAGCAAAAAAAAAAGGAAGGTTACTTTAAACCCTTCGGTCGATCTTGGCAAGACATTTATATAAAAAGTCGATCTTGATCAAAAATTAGTGGACAACACTGCTATATATCATATGCCATCTTAAAATAGAAGCTTTAATCTTCAATTTAAGATATAAATCGTGGTCTAACTCTCAAGAATAAGGTCATAGTGATTTTACAAAATTTCTACTTTTTTCAGAATTTCTTATTTAGTATTAGCATTGCCACCTAAACACTGTGTAACCAATTGGATACGAATTAAATTGATCAAATGCACTGTTTCTAACGTACATGGCGCCAGGTGGTTCTTTGAAAAGCAAAATCATATCCATATATGCAACTTTTTTGTTAATTGTCCGATTTTAGTGTGTAATACTTTTTTGGAATTGGTTCGTCCTGTAGAATTGCCCATCAAACTCCCTTTAATTAATGTTAAGTATGTCATATGTCTAACTTTAGTAGTATATCTGATATTTACAATTTAAAGAAAAATGTGTAATAAAAAATGTTTTATATTGCATTCTGTCTATTGTTGCAGTCTTTTTTGTTCTTTCTTTGTCTCTCATTTCTAAATCAGTACTGATTTAACTTCAATTAAAAAATACTTTAGTTTAACTTTAATTAATACTATTAGCATTTATCAAACAGTAAACCCCAATAAATATCAGGAAAACTACTAAAATTGGACATAGATTAAGATTAAATTAGACATAAATGAGAAAAAGAGAACTTGATGGGCAATTTAACTAGCATGTAATATAATAATAACTAGCATACAGGCATTTAAAAAACTTATGGAAAAGCCATTTGAAAAAAATGGTCAAAATTTACTTAGTGCTATATCACATATCTTTGGACACTATCATCTACCTACAGGTTTTGACTATTATCTGACATAGTTTAAAGACAAATTAAGGCAATAAGATCATGCTACAGGCATATTTTGGAAAAACAATTGAATGTCTAAGGAACTATTAATGCTTTGAGTTGGCAACATATACGGTTGGATAACCAAATGTAGTTGTATTCATAATATAATAAAATATACAGGGGGTTCCATTTAAAAAAATTTACACACTTGCCATCATGCTTAAATGTAATATCTTGTATAAATGAGAATAATTTTGTTATAAAAAGTGGTGAATCAAACAACTTTTGTATAAAACATTTTTTCATTCTCAAACAATTTAGTAAGTATCAACCGCCAGGACACTAATAATGCATCCTGTATAAGTAATGAAATCAATTTATTACTATTATGTTAGAAATTAAAATATTATAAAATCTTAATGTGTTAAAACAAAATTAAAGAAAATTCCTCATTTATGTTCAATTGAAGTTGAAGGGAGGGTGAGTAAAGAATAAATTATGAACTATAATTAACTAAATTGTTATAAATAACAATTTGTTATCAATGTTTTGAGTAGTAAATTAGATCTTTATAGTTTCAAACTAGATAAAATGTCATTCATATTGTGAGAAATACTTATGAGGGGATATTCTAGAAATTTGAATGCAATCTTCTTCTTAATACTCACATTTACTCAGTGCTGCCAAATCGTCACATCACTGCAATGCAAGGCTTATGAGAATCTGTACCATTTGTAGTTGGAATTTTCTGAAAATTACCATAACAGATATTTAAGGATTTTACTAATTAAAATCAAAGAATGTTTTTAATTTGTAGAGATAAAAATAATTCGAAAGTTCTCTTTTCACTTAATTATTTTGTTTATTAATGAATTAAATCTACTCAATCACAAATTTTTTTTTTAAATAGTTACCTTATCCATACCAAGAAATTTCTTTTAATCATCTTCGAAATGCAGAATTGAATATCTCACCCAATTTTGTGATTATTCGTGGACAATTGATGGAAGTTTTTACGTAAACAATACAACAAAGATTCCATATATAATAGTTAAACATTTCTACAACGGTGTTTTAGGGAACACTGTTAACACCATACAAGAAACTTCTTTGAAACCGAGTTTTCTTTGCTTCCTTTGCCTGCAAAGCGGAATGGCAGCAAGACGCCATATACGCGCAATGTGCAGCAATGTGAAGCGTGGTGAGACCAACGAAAGAGCTCGTAGGTTACTGATGGGACGCCACCAGATGGCAAGTATACTTAGGTTTCCTATTAATAGCTGGCACTATTTAAATTATTCCACATTTTTAGATACATATTTGATATTTTTATGCATTAAATTATTTGTTATTACCAATATTTCATTCCGGAGATATTTTAGTAAAATACTAAGCATGTAGCTTTCGTACAACATGGGTACTGAAGTATTATTGGTACTTACAAGTACATCTATTATAAAGAGATTTTATGAAAATAACACTAAAAAGCAATATGTAAGTACACTGTTTCGTGATCACATACAAGTGAACTACCCGTTCTCTGAGTAATCGTGGTTTTCTATTTAGCTTAATTGTTAAACCAGTTGAACACAATAATGTATTGAACTATTTGACATAACTAATATTTACTAATGTTTTGTTTTGGGTCGCTATGACATTGTTGCTAACGGACGAACGACAAGTTATGTGGCTGAAGTTAGATTCATATTCGAATCTGTACCAGATTCAGATTCATAAAATTACAGTTGACCAGACAAGTATTGAACATATCAATTGAAAAATCGTTTTCTGAAACTACAGAAGTTGTAGCAATCTGCGACTACCCTGGATAATTCGAATAGACTAGTATGTTCCCTGTCTACCCTCACCCTCAGATTTGCCGTAGGGGCCGAGGGGTTCCTCGTATTCAATAGCAAAGTTAAAAATTATTTTCTCAATAACTAGAGACTGCAGCACCCTGGTACTAGTCTAGATTATTGCATTATGTCCTCTGGTATCCTTGTAGCCCATGAACACCCCAGATTTGCCGTACGGGCCGAAGGGTGAATTTTTTAATATTCCTTGTTTTCAATAGCAAATTTAAACATTATTTTCTCAATAACTAAAGACTGCAGCACCCTGGGACTAGTCTAGATTATTACATTAGGTCCTCTGGTATCCTTGTAGCATATCCACACCCCCAGATTTGCCGTAGGGGCCGAAGGGTGAATTTTTTAATTGCCTCGTTTTCAATATCAAATTTAAGCATTATTTTCTCAATAACTAGAGACTGCAGCACCCTGAAAGTAGTCTAGGTTATAGCATTAGGTCCTCTGGTATCTTTCTAGCCCACCAGTACCCCCAGATTTGCCGTAGAGGACGAAGGGTGAATTTTTTAATATTCCTCGTTTTCATTAGCAAATTTAAACATTAGTTTCTCAATAACCAGAGACTGCAGCACCCTGGGACTAGTCTAGATTATTGCGTTAGGTCCTCTGGTATCCTTGTAGCCCATTAGCACCCCCAGATTTGCCGTAGGGGCCAAAGGGTGAATTTTTTAATATTCCTCGTTTTCAATATCAAATTTAAACATTGTTTTCTTAATAACTAGAGACTGCAGCACACTGGGACTAGTCTAGATTATTGTATTAGGTCCTCTGGTATCCTTCTAGCCCACCCACACCCCCAGATTCGCCGTAGGGGCCGAAGGGTGAATTTTTTAATTGCCTCGTTTTCAATATCAAATTTAAACTTTATTTTCTCAATAACTGGAGACTGCAGCACCCTGGGACTAGTCTAGATTATTGCATTAGGTCCCCTGGTATCCTTGTAGCCCATCAACACCCCTATAAATAATCCAAATAATCCCTATTTTTGAATTAATCTCTTCCATGCACGATGCTGTAACAATCTCTTCCTTTTTGTCATTTTAAAAAATTTGTCATTGCAAGGTGTTACCAAAAATGGCCTATAATTTCTGAAATTGTGACGGATTGGAGCTTTGCTTTAATCACAGGTGTTTGTCTCGCTCTCAATAATATGCCGTTATATGCGTATTTAAAGGTATGTTATAAATATGTGTGCGATCAAGACCAGAGCATACGCGACATCATTATTTTAAGAACGATGTCAAATTACCTACATAAAGCAAAAATTAATAAAAACTGCTTAGGTATAATATTGGACATGGTCGGTGTATTAATACAAAGTCGAAATCTTCAAGAACTATCTGCCCATTTTAGAAGCTTTTTAATTGTAGTAATTAGTCCTGTAATTAACAGTGAAACAATTCAACATTTGAAATTGCTTCCTAATTTAACTGAATATTTACTGAAATTATGTTACAATATCAAGTTGACATAATTAATTACAAGGATGAAGAAGACGTCGATGCTATCACAGCTTCTTATGCAGATACACCATTTTATAAACATTTTCATCAAATTTATACTGAAGTTGAGAACACATTAGCAAAATGGAATAAAGATAGTGATGAGAAAAATAGTCTGCAAGGTATTTGCACAATTTTTGCTAAAGAATTATATGCCATTTGTACCTCTTTGGACGTCTGTGATAGACAATATATCGGCAGAAGAAGTTATTACATCAAATTCAAATGTTGAATGCTGGTTCAAAATTGTAAAAAAAATATCTTGGTGAATGACACATACTTGAAAGTTGGACGATTCGTAAGAATTTTAAAAAGAATTATACAAACTAATGTAAAAGAACTTACATTAGATATCAAAAAAATAAAGCAAAAAAGACAAACACAGGACGTTGATAACATTAATAGTCTAACATGTAAGGAACAGTGGCGGCAAAAGGTAAACAAACAGCGGACTCATTTCGATAAAAAGAAACTTGCAGCTTTTTTGAATAAACATATCCACCTATTAAATGATTACAACAACGATACAATTTATTTTGAAGATCAAGACGATATTGACGATTCACCCAGTTGTCATGATACAGAACATAAACATATCAACCTACAAAACAATTCGAACACCAAAATAGCTTGTTATGAAGATGATGTTGATGATCCATCTAGTTTTCATGATATAGAATATAACTCATCATCCTCATTATTTTACAAATCAAGCACAGTGCCATGTTATATGAACGGACTGATATCTAATAATGAATATTACTTGAAAGCAATATCAAAATTTACAAAACACCCAAAATTTTTTGATTGGAATATACAAGTATCGTAACACCAGTATTAAATTAATGAGCGACGATTTTTTACGCCTACATTCAACTAAAAATTCTACAATAGTTAATTCAAAAACATTAACAGATAAGTGGTTGTCAGACTACTGCATCGATGCATTTGCGTTTTCATATTTAAAAAACATGACTAACTGTATTTATTACATAGATTCTGTTCCAGCACAATTTATGTTTTCCGGAAACGATTGCTTAAATTTAAAAGTATTTGTTGAAAATTTAAATAATTATAAGTACGTATTTGTTCCATATAACTTAAACTCTAGTCACTGGATATTAATAGTTTTAAGTATGTCAGAAAAATTAATTTATTTACTCGATCCCGGTCAAACAAATACGGACAATAATATACTTAACAAAATTAAGAAGTTTTTAAACAGGTGTAATAAAACAAAGAGTCGTAATGAACAAACAAATATTAAAGGTTGGAAAATGGCTAAAGACCACAAATATCCTAAACAAACGGATAGCACAAATTGTGGAATATTTGTTATATATTTTATGAGCGTTGTAGGAGAACGTAATATTAATGATCTTTTTTATATAGATAACAATTGGATACAGAGAAATACTGGTTTAGGCTACAATCGTACTTGTTGGCAAATTCTGAAAATATTAAAAAGTACTGCCCTAGGTGTGGTCTCTATAACGAATCGCAATACATTTGTTGCAATCAGTGTCAACGGTGATATCATTTTAAAAATTGTACCAATATTCCACCAAACATGTGTTTTGAACAAGCGTCCCACGTTACCTTCATATTTACCTGCAATCTTTGTTCAATTTAAATGCTTTAATATGTCTCAAAATTTAGAAAAGTGTCGTTCAAGTTTCATTAATAAAGAAGTAAAAGCCATTTGAAAATTATACTTTCAAATCAAACTAAATATTGAATAAATTTTGAATATAATAATCTAGACCAGTCCCAGGGCGCTGTAGTCTTTAGTTCTTCAGAAAATAATTTTTAATTTTGCTATTGAACAAGAGGAATTTTAAAAAATTCACCCTTCGGCCCCTACGGCAAATCTGGGGATGCGAGTGGACTAGAAGGATACCAGAGGACATAATGCAATAATCTAGACTAGTCCCAAGGTGCTGCTGTCTTTACTTATTGAGAAAATAATGTTTAAATTTGTTATTGAAAACGACGAATATTAAAAAATTCACCCTTTGGCGCCTACGGCAAATCTGGGGGTGTGGGTAGGCTGGAAGGATACCAGAGGACCTAATGCAATAATCTGGATTAGTCCCAGGGTACTCCAGTCTCTAGTTATTGAGAAAATAATTTTTAACTTTGCTATTGAAAACAAGGAATATTGAAAAATTCATCCTTCGGTCCCTACTGCAATTCTGAGGGTGCTGGTGGTCTAGAAGGATACTAGAGGACCTAATGCAATAATCTAGACTAGTCCCAGAGTGCTGCAGTCTTTAGTTATTGAGAAAATAATGTTTAAATTTGATATTGAAAACGAGTAATATTAAAAAATTCACCCTTCGGCCCCTACGGCAAATCTGGGTGTGTTGATGGGCTACAAGGATACCAGAGGACCTAATGTAATAATCTAGACTAGTCCCAGGGTGCTGCAGTCTTTAGTTATTGAGAAAATAATGTTTAAATTTGCTATTGAAAACAAGGAATATTAAAAAATTCACCCCTCGGCCCTTACGGCAAATCTGGGGGTGGTGGTGTGCTAGAAGAATACCAGAGGACCTAATGCAATAATCTAGACTAGTCCCAGGGTGCTGCAGTCTCTAGTTATTAAGAAAATAATTTTTAACTGTGCTATTGAATACGAGGAACCCCTGGGCCAATACGACAAATCTGAGGGTGAGGGTAGACAAGGAACATACTAGAGGGTCTATTCGAATTATCCAGGGTAGTCGCAGATTGCTACAACTTCTGTAGTTTCAGAAAACGATTTTTTAATTGATATGTTCAATACTTGTCTGGTCAACTGTAATTTTATGAATCTGAATCTGGTACAGATTCGAATATGAATCTAACTGCAGCCACATCGACAAGTTACAATTATTTTGCATTATGGATTGCAAAACCCTTTCCTTTAAAAATAAAAACTTAAACGTCTCAAATCATCAACATGTGTATATGTCGTGGTCACACGGCGAAATCCGTCAGTTCCCGAAAATCCTAGGCAGTTCATGAAGCGTCGGCATTTTGTGTAAATGTTAACGATTTCGTTTTCTGGCGAGGCTGTTCATGAAACGCCCGATCATATTCGGCAAATCGCGTACTCCATCTCGGTACACAATCTGCCGCAACAAAGGTATCGAAGGTTCACGAAACGACCGGCACAAAATAATAGATAGACCTTTGATTATATATAATATGGATTGAGTTAGAAACCGAAAACTGAACGAATGAAAACCGAAACTTTACTAAAGATATGAGTAAAAGTCTTACTTAGTGTCCTCGAAATACTGAAAACTTGCAATAAACACTTTTGCTATATTTTTTCTTGAATTAAAGAACTTAATGAAAGAGTCGAAATGAAACACAAAACTTGAACTGAACTCTCTGTATTCTCGAAGAAGAATGTGTATTTTTGAAAACAAGTTTCGGAGGTCTAAAAATAAATCGCTCGATGAACCTCAAAAGGAAAGAAACATTATTACTTAATATTACTATGTACACAACTTAAATCTAACTATATACATCAATAAATGTCACTAAAAGAAATAAAATTTATTTGAATTGAAACTTTAAACATTCCGCCCGCCTTGCCGAACGATCGGCAACTTACAAAACAAAAATTATAGAAAACGAATAGCGGGTATAGAAGGAAATCTGTTTACTCTCTACCTACACAGACTTAAAATGAAAACAAATTGAACCGAACAGAACATAACTTCAAAAGAAAATTAGTTTTGTTTACGTTAAATAATGAATGAAATTGAAAACTATCTTGAAGTTAAAGAAAATACATACTGAACTGTAATGAAACAAATAAATTGGAAATAAACTTGAAACAAATACAAAATGACATTTTTTTTTTTTTTTATAATGAATTATCAACTGGAAGTACACTTAGTTTAATTATAGGACGAATCAAGGTAGTAGTTGGAGTTTTTATTGTTGCCACTCGAACGTGACCATCAACCCCAGGATGAAGTTCAACAATTCTTGCAAGCATCCATTTAGATGGAGGTAGTCGTTCATCCTTTACTAACACCAATTGTCCCACGATAGGTATATTTTGTTCATCAAACCATTTAGTTCTTACATTTACAGATTGCAAGTAAAATTTTTGCCATTTTGTCCAAAAGTCCTCAACCATGCGGCGAAGCAGTTGCCACCGGTTTAGTCGATTAATATTTTCTGTTAAAATTGAAGGGTGCGGAACAACTGTTAATGCTTCTCCGATCAGAAAATGAGCTGGTGTTAGAACTTCGTAGCTATTTGAGTCATCAGACATTGCACTCAGAGGACGTGAATTTAAAACCGCCTCAATTTGAATTAGAACTGTGCTAAACTCCTCATAAGTGAGTAACGATGATCCAACTACTTTCCGAAGGTGAGTCTTTACTGATTTAATGCCAGCCTCCCACTTGCCACCAAAATGGGGAGACGCTGGAGGGTTGAATTTCCAACTTGTACCATCACCAATCAGCAAATTGGCCATTCTTCTAAACTCTCCAGATGCAGCTGAGAATAAAGATCTTAATTCACGGTCCGCTCCAACCAAATTACTACCGCAATCACTGTACAAGCAGTTGCATATCCCACGACGACCAGTAAAACGCTTGTAGGCAGCAATAAATCCGGAAGTTGAATAGTCAGTAGCAACCTCGAGGTGAATAGCGGAACTTACTAGGCAAACAAAAAGAATTAGATAGCTTTTATACGTCTTACCGGAACGTCCACGGATTGTGCGGAGAAAGAAAGGCCCTGCATAGTCTACTCCAGTGTGCAAGAAGGGTCTGGATGGCGTTATTCTCGGAGAAGGAAGCTGACCCATTAATTGGCGTGTAGTTTCCGCTCGTTGTTTGGCGCAGATCATGCACTGATGGATGAACTTTCGAACTGGCACACGACCGCCAATGATCCAAAATTGACGTCGCAAGGAAGACAATGTCAGTTGAGTGCCTCCATGCAACGTCAATCGATGATGACTATCGATGATGAGGGTGGTAAGTCTTGAATCACGAGGAAGAATGATAGGATGCTTTTCGTCAAAGTCCAAGTTGGAGAAACGAAGACGACCTGTCACTCGTAGAAATCCATCACCATCTATAAAAGGTACTAAACGAAATAACGGGCTTGATCAGTGAAGAGAACGTCCTTCTTTAATTGTGGTAAGTTCATTTCCGAACGCGCTAAGCTGGCACTCGCGCACCCAAAACATTAATGCGTTTTTGATCTCACTGGGTGATAGAATGTCTGGAAAAAAGTCAAATTTAGATCTGTTAAAAATTCGTCTGCACCAGGCAGTAACTCTTAAAAGTTTATTTAAAGAAGAAAACTTATATTTTAAGTCCCAATCATTGCCGGACTGAGTTGTTGCGTGTGAAGTTGGCTTCAAACGCAGCTCACGATTCACATCAGTTGATGGTGATGGACGAAGAAGAGGCCATTGTGAAGGATGAGCCGATAACCAGGACGGTCCAGACCACCAAGTCGTTTCCCGTTGAAGTAGCTGAATGTTCATCCCTCTTGAAGCGAAGTCAGCTGGATTGTCGTGACCGGGAACATGATGCCATGTCGCTTGAGCCAGGTCCTGAATCTGAACCACTCTATTTCGAACAAAATCCTTCCATTTAGAAGGATGGCTACAAATCCACGACAGGGCAATAGTCGAATCTGTCCAAAGATGAACCGGCAAATGGTGGAGAGCCAAAACAGTCAGAACTTTTTTGACTAACCGAACAAGTAGTACCGCGGCGCACAATTCTAGACGCCGAATTGTAATACTTTTTAGTGGAGCCACTTTAGTTTTTGAGAGAAGAAGAGTAACTCGCACTCGCTCGCGATTAAGGAGTCGCAAATAAACAACCGCACCAAACGCACAAACGGACGCGTCCGCGAAACCGTGTACTTCGACCGACTCACTCCCGCCATCAACACCCAACCAACGAGGCACTCGAATTACCGGTGTCTCGCGAAAACTATTGATAAAGGATTTCCAATTTTCCGCTAAATCGTCAGTCAAAAGATCATCCCAATCTAGATTTCGCGTCCAGAGGTGTTGCATTAAAATTTTTGCCGTAACAATGAAAGGGGAAAGCCACCCGAGCGGATCAAACAATTTAGCAATAAACGACAAAACTGAGCGCTTGGTGATTTTGCTATCCGCGTAATCAATATTTAAACGAAACACGAATTCATCTGTCTTATTATTCCATAAAAGACCGAGAGCACGAGGAGTATCTGTACTTTCGATGTTTAATGTGTCCGAAGTAGCGAGAAGATCTGAATGCAAAGAACAGAGTGCTTCAGGCAAATTGGATATCCATTTTCTTGCCTTAAAACATCCGGAAGTTAAAACATTATTAAGTTCGAAGATTAGTTCTTGGACTTGATTGAGATCATTAGCACCGGACAGTATATCGTCGACGTACGTATCGTTTTGAAGTGTGTCTGCACCACGAGGCTGACTATCTGCTTTTTCGATACACAATTGCCGAATACAACGTATCGCCAAGTATGGCGCACAAGAAAGCCCGTAAGTTACGGTAGTTAGTTCGTAACTTTTTAAGTCATCTGTTGGATTTTCGCGCCAAATTATGCGTTGAAAAGGTTGATCGTTTTCATGTACGAGAATCTGGCGATACATTTTCTCAATGTCGCAGGCAAATACTATAGGATGACGTCTCCACCTCAACAAAACGTCTACTAACTCATTTTGTATTTTCGGACTGGTATGCAGACAATCATTGAGCGAAACACCCGAAGAAGTTTTTTGCGATCCGTTAAATACGACGCGCAATCGAGTAGTTGAACTGGTTTCCCGAACAACACCATGGTGAGGTAAGTAAAAATGAGCCGCTTCTAAATTTGTTGTAACTTGTTTCATATGATTTAGAGCAAGATATTCGCGCATGAATTGGCTATATTGCGTTCTAAGGTTTTCGTCGCGAGCAAATCTAATTTCGCTACGATTAAAGGCTTTTTTTGCAACATTGAACGAATTGCCCAGTTCGGTAGTTGACTTCCGGAATGGTAAGCGCACTAAAAAACGTCCAGTTTGATCCCGCGAATGAGTTCGAATAAAGTGACTCTCGCAGTCGCGCTCATCATTTGAAAGGCAAGGAGTTTTCATAGTATCCTCCTCCTGTTTCCAAAAACACTGAATAAGCTCTAGAAATTCTCTGTCAATCGAACATTGAAAACCGTAAGCATTTCGAATAGAAGATGATTGATCAGAAATCACACCGGAAAGAATCCACCCGAACTGAGTCTTTTGAGCAATTAAAGTACCGTCACCATTCCGTCGCACGCCTTCTTGCAACACTTTTGAATATAAACCGACACCGAGAATTAATTCGATTTTTCTGAATGATGTAAATTCTGGATCAGCTAACGGGATATCATTAAATTCTACAGGCAATTGTGTCGAATGTTCTTTGGGTAGATATGCTGTAAGTTTTGGGAGTATCAACGCTTCCTCCGTAAACGATATCAATGAATCAATTACAGAGTACAACCGAACTGAAACAACACCATTCGAAATGCTAGTTTGTTGTGAACCAATTCCAGATATGGGAACATTAGCTGATCTTCGTGAAAGTTTAAGACGCTGTACCAACGATTCGCTTATGAAGGAAATCTCCGAACCCGGATCGATAAGAGCGCGAACAATGATCGTATCACCCCGAGGAGATGAAACTCGAACTAATGCCGTAGCTAGCAAAACTGTAGTGTGAATGTGATGTGAATTAATAATATGACTTGATGTTGTAGGTTGAGTTCTTATCATGTTTGATGTTTGTGGTGTAGATGATTGGGTTGCTTCTGAGTTTGATTGTGTGTTCGTTGTCTGAATGGATCGTATAACTGGTGGAGATTCGTGAAGAGTCGTGTGGTGAGGTTTTCGGCAAATACGACATCTCTTTGCAACTCGACATCTTCGATAAGTATGAGGTCCCAAACAATTGAAACAGAGTCCTCGGTTTATGACGAATTCGGCACGTTGTGCAGCTGTTTTCGAGAGATAATTCTGACACGAAGCTATATAATGAACTGCACCACACAATGTACAACCGTTGGAAGGTGTAGATGCGTTATGAGCTTTAATATTGGAAGGCTTAGAAAAGGTTGAAGATATTCTTTTGGAAACTGAATGCTTTTCTATGGCTTCGAGAGTGTAGATACGCCCGATTAGAAATTCCTCAAGTTCTTCGAAAGTCGAGGGATCACGATGGTTCCCGATTGACTTTTCCCAGTCTTTTATAGTTTCTGAATCTAATTTTCTCACGATCATATACACTAGAAGATGATCCCATGAATCCACGGGGCATCCGAGAGATTGTAACGCACTTAGTGCTTCGTTAATTTCGCCTATCAATCGTTTAAGTTCAGAAGCTGATTCCGATTTATTCGAATGCGCGGAAGAAAGAATCGATAAATGAGAGTCAATCAATACGCGCCGATTTTCATATCGTTCGATTAATAGATTCCATGCACGTTGAAAATTAGCACTTGTAACAAGTAAATTTTTTAAGAGTTGTGCCGGTTCTTTAACGAGACTCATTTTTAGGTACTGCAGTTTTTCTACTTCTGAAATATCGTCATTATTGTTCACCATAGAAAAAAATAGATCGCGATATTGAGTCCAATTAGCAAAATTACCGTCAAATATAGGTAAAGAAATCTGCGGCAGATGTCGCGAACCAGATTTTACTCCAACGGGCGGAGGATTTGTTTGATTAACAGTGACCGGAGGATTTTCGACCGGAAGATCACCTAATGATCATCGATGTGATCCCGCTGCGCTTGAAACTGGATCCAAAATGTCTAACATAAAGGCTTTAGCGTTTAGATATTCATTTTCACATAAATTAAATATGTCGTCAGTAAAATAAGCTGTGCTAGCGTACTCGATTTGATACGGAATTAATTTTTTGTGAACATCGTTGAAATCGTTCCAATTAGACTCAAGTCGCTCAAGTCGACTACGAAGTGTACCGCGAGTCCAATTTGCTCGACCGACCTTTTTTAAATTGTCAATTGTTCTTGAAATAAAACCGAAAACTTCATTTTGTCTCTCGAAAAACGGGTTTAGCGATGTCTTGTCACCGGGGTTGGACATGTTGGAAATGTGAATAAAAATATCCAATTTATAAAAATCACACGAAAAAACGAATACTATTAACAAACTCCGTCGTAAATAGTCGTAATCAGCCGTGAATTATTATTGTTATTTGTCGTCATCCGGCTCGAAGGACCAGTAAATGTTCATTTAGAAACCGAAAACTGAACGAATGAAAACCGAAACTTTACTAAAGATATGAGTAAAAGTCTTACTTAGTGTCCTCGAAATAATGAAAACTTGCAATAAACACTTTTGCTATATTTTTTCTTGAATTAAAGAACTTAATGAAAGAGTCGAAATGAAACACAAAACTTGAACTGAACTCTCTGTATTCTCGAAGAAGAATGTGTATTTTTGAAAACAAGTTTCGGAGGTCTAAAAATAAATCGCTCGATGAACCTCAAAAGGAAAGAAACATTATTACTTAATATTACTATGTACACAACTTAAATCTAACTATATACATCAATAAATGTCACTAAAAGAAATAAAATTTATTTGAATTGAAACTTTAAACACTAACTGAATATATCTACTAACAAAAATGTTGCTCAAGGTGAATAGACGCAGATGGAAAGCGATAATGTGAAAGTGTAACAAAGATAGATATATTATATGTCAGTACGCTTCTATGTCTATCTCTGTTCGATCACCTTGCGCAAGCTATCTCTCTCGTTGGCTCAATCCATATTACATATAATCAAAGAGATAGACAGACTGTATTTCAGCAATGTTATTGGGCATTTCGTGAAATTATATTCTAAGGGTCGGTTCTATAAAGTTCTATTTATTAACGTAGGATTAACTTCACGAAACGCTAACCCAATCAGAAAGCGAGAATTTTCGGTTAGCGTTCCATTCAAGGTTTATAGAACATAAGGTTACCTCATTCCCTATGCCTCTGTAGTATCGATTATTACCCCGCAAATTGACGTCACTGGTTCGATACAGTCAGAATAAATGATAGCCTATACGTGCCTATACTGTGGTACAGTCTATATAAAATATTTAAACCTCGCATCGTGTTGTGTTGTTCATAGAACCAGCTACGTCACTGACCCACCTTGCCTCTCAGAGGAGGAGAATCGGTATTGGGTAACCTTATGTTCTATAGACCTTGCGTTCCATTAATGTGGCGTTAAATTGATAACAGTTTATAAACCCATCCCTAATACGTATTCTTTTGTAAGGATCAAGATTACTAGAGACCGGGTAATTCCTAGTTTTTATTGCTTATTGTTTTACAGTGGTTAAATAAAACAATGTAACGAAGTTACATTATTTTTATTTTTCAAAAACCGAATATCCCGAAAAATTACCGAAAATTAAATATAACCGAGTATACTTCCCACACTACCTCGATACGTTACAGTTTCCACCCGATTTGTAGAAATTCCGAAAAAGATATCTTATCTCCTTATCAGCGTCCGTTTATGCAACCCAATTCACATTTTATTAATTTTGATAATTTTCTTAATTAGACTTTGATTTTCTTCGTTTTCCATTTCGAAACCGTTATGTTAAATTCCAACAACGTTCCCTGACCGAAACATCAATAAATGAAAGTAATTAATAAAATTGCTGAATCATGAAAACATGTGCTTTCCGAAAAATTATTATCAAATAATTAAATGATTCCGAAATTAATAAATTTTCAAACAAGATACGACAAGCCACATGTTTCTATCAGTCCAGCCGACCGTCCCGTCCCGAGGAAGTTTCAGCAGCCACCGAGCTACCGTCGAGCTACCGTATATCGACTATTTTTTATGATGCGGAATTAGAAATCGCAGAACGATCAACCCGATTTCAAACATTTACAAATATCATGAAATAACCGTTGAACAATTTTAAAGATAATCCGCTTATTATTAACATAATAATTCACCGAAAATCATCCCGCATCATAATTAATTAAATTACTCCGTTCCTGATGGTCATCCGTTGAAAATATTGCCCATGTAGGATTGCCCCGAACGTCGCCCAATTGCTGGAATTGTTTTGTGTTAAGGTGCGCGTAAATTAATACCGATTAATTGGTTTTAACGTGAAACACGTGGTCGGGAAAACGTTTGTGAATATAAGTGCCGTAAACAGTGGCTGGTTTTGTTAAAAATATTTTTGTAATTTTCCGTATAAGTAAGGGTAAGATTTGTGTTATACATTTTTCCGTTAATTATTGTTGATTAATTGTTAATTACTCCGCCGTTCCTTAGCCGATTTTATCCGTTCAAAGACTGTAATTATGTAATTTTGAGTCCCGCATCCGTTAGCGCCGTCAGAATTTTGCTATTTTTGTTAATTAGCGCCGCGCATTATAAATTAGTCTTTGATAACTTGTACTGATACGATCCCCCACGCGGAAAAATCCAGTTTTCGCCCCAAAATGGTATAAATAGCCGGCCAAAATTCTGATTTTTAACAGTTCTTCATCAGTTCTACGACAGTTTCAACAGTCCGCAACGCCGTCATTAGTTCCGAAGACACCCGCTAATTTTTCTTAGAAATACCCGTATTTCAAATTTACCGTAAGTCCGATTTATTTTGAAAGACTTTGATTTTATTTTTGTTAATTTTCATTAATTTTTGTAAATTTTGTCCGAACCTTAATACTCTTGGAAGGTTCTTCGAGTATTCCGTTCCTTTACACCTTAGGAAGGTTTCCAGGTGTATCCTATACCTCCGCCTCATTTTTTTTTGTTTGTTTAATTTAAACTCATTTATTATAAAGTCAAAGTCTTGTCAATTTATTCCCACCGTCCCCATTCTCCGACCGTGGTCAAAAATTAATAAACTGCCCTCCTATTTGTTTATTTTATTATTAATAAAGTTTATGGTTATTTGTTTTCCGAATTTTTCTTGTTTTCTTCTTTCCCATACCGAATCCCTGAATCTCCGACTGTAACCCCCAAAAGTTACCTGGAGGCGAAAGAGTTCNTTATTTGAATTGAAACTTTAAACATACACCTCCCAAAATAAGAGAAATTGCTCAGAGTTAATGTCCTCATCATTGTGGACCTTGCCTCGATGCTAAGAACGAGTTTAAATATCCATAGACAAAAATTGTCATATTGACAACTAGAAAAATTAATGAACCAATATCACCAACTTGAACTGGTTCCATAAAATGTTACTAAAATCTCATTACAGCATCGGTTGCTGTAAGGAGTCTCATTACAGCACCCGTTTGAGTACTGTTATAGCTTCCATTACCGTAGCGAATCACAAAATAGTATATTAAAAAATATACTACACTCCTCACCCCCGGTAAAGAACTGTTCAGTTTCATAGTCTTGTAAATATTTCTCGGAATTTTTCGTTCTCTTCTTGGGCGTGTAGTTTCTGGTTTGTCTTCATTTGTCCCAATCAAAGGTTCGGTTGGTTGTGCAACTGGTTCTTCTTCCACTAATGGCTTTTGCATTTTCCAACCTTGAGCTCTTCTGCCTCATTTTGTCCACATCTCTTTTATGTTGTTTTCCATCTGGTGTTTGGACTTTATAGCTAAGTGGACCGGTTACTTCGGTTACTACTGCAAGTTGCCACTTTTCCTGTGTTCCATACGATCTCATGAAAACTGAATCGTCTAACATAAACATTCTTGGCGGTGTTGTTGAACACTTCTCTTCTTGCTTAGTCTTCATGTTCTTGTGAAATCTGGTTAGACTCGGTCCAATAGGCATGATAATCTTCTTCCCATGAGCGATCTCCCCGTCATTGAACTCGGTGTAATGTGTTGAACTAAAAGATATCTAGCCTTAATACTTGTAAATTCTCAGCTGATATTTTCCTCAATGCCTGTTTAAATTCGTGCACTAGTCTCTCAGCTTGACCATTGCTGCTAGGATGGTAGGGTGTAACCAAAGCTTGTCGAATTAGGTTCTTCTGAAGAAATACTTTAAATTCCTTAGACGTGAACGCAGTTCCATTATCTGATACCCCAACATCTGGTAATCCATGTGTCGCAAATAATTCTCTTAGAACTGTTATTTCATATGTCAATGGTTCAGAAACTTGTCGAACTTCTTACCATTTTGAATAGGCGTCCACCACGACCAAAAAATACTTTCCATTAACTGGTCCTGCATAATCGAGGTGTATGCTCGACCATGGAGCTTTTGCCCATTCCCACGGATGGATTGGCGCTTTTCCTGGTTGATTTCTACTCATTTGGCATCTTTAACAATTTCTCACCAAGTCTTCTATTTCCTTACCCATACCCGGCCACCAAACATACGATCTGGCTGTGTGCATTATCTGAAATGTACTTTTCCTTCCCCCTGGTGGAACTGTTACTCTTGATCCCCACAGTAAACAATCCTCAAAGGAAGATATTTTTACTTTTTTATTTATAAATGTTTTAAATTCATCTGAGAATTCAGTGAATGACAATTGAATTATGATTTATTGGAACCAGTTCAAGTTGTCACCAACTTGAACTG